AATTTTATTCGGTGTATTGGCGGGGCGATAACAAACAAGTACCGAAAAAATTACAAAATAAATTAGAAACCTATTAATTATTTATATTTAAATTAGTATTGTGCATTTAATAAATAAGTACATTTTGTTGAAAGTCAGAAAGTTGTATTTGTCAGGGGGGGCGCCCCTCCTGAAGTATACCTGGATTCAACACTGCCTACATCGTTCAATTTTTTTTCAGGCAGATACTTTCTGAAAATCGTCAAAACCAATAAAACTTACGCTACAGGATAAAAAAAAAAAAAAACATAATCGGAAACGGTGCGGTACGTGCCACATGAAATCATGATCAGGTTTAGGTTAAGAATCGTGACGGGAAGTTAAAGAAAGATTGCCAGTAGTTTGGTGAGGTGAGGTGATTTTCGGTGGGTCAGCGTAATCCCGCAAACGGATTAGGCGCGAAAGCTCTGGAATGAAACTATGGAAGTAATTGTAAAAATAATTAATAAATAATATGGAACATAACAGAACAGCTAAGCCGCAATGGTGAGGTACAAGTCGAARGATTTTTCGTGTCGAGAACGAAAATTTGAAATATAAAGAGCAGTCAGCCATAGGTAAAAGAATACAGTAAACTGCAGTGTTACTTCACATTATTTTACCTCACCAACCAGTGACCGTATAAGACGGTGATGGTGGTTGGAGCGGTCATATAATTCGTCGAATTGTTTCTTTAATATAATAATGGATTTATTCAAATTATTCTGATTTTAGGAATATTTACTAAATTATTTTCTAATTCTTATAGATTTTTATATCAAAATACGAGAACTCCTTAGAGACAAGGGATGATAGAGTAGTATAACACTTGGTTTGAATCGTAATAATAACTAAGTTTTAAATTTTGTGAGACTTCTCAATAATATTATATGTGTTAAAAATTTTGAGTCCTAAAAAATAGACATATTTTGTAAACAAAATAGTCAAAATACAACCGACACGACACTCTGTAGACTTCTAATGTGYTGGTTGACTTTTGATACCAATCAGTATACTTTCGAATAATGTCGATTTATTAGTAATAATAGTCGCAGAAATAAAAAATACGAACTTGTTAAAAATTCCTACAAKTTCTGTTCTGATTGGTCGAAACAGTATTATATTACATTAYTACAACACAACACTTAATATATATATATAGGTATATACTCCGATACTCGTATACCCAAATCATTTTTTTAAATTTATTTCCGGTTAGTTGTCACTGTGACATACTTATTAGTTATTACCATTATAGGAGTCTTGTTGCCAGTTTGCCACACATTTTTAAAAGGACAAATAGTTTTGTTAATTTTTACATGTGTCTTATTATTGTTATTTGTTTTATAATCTACACAGGAATTTGACAATCCTAGTCAAATATTATAATAGAAATATGAATGATCAAAATTGAAGAGCGTTAGATTTTCAGTTGGGAAATTAGGCAGTATATTAGATTTAAGTTATCAATGTTACGAAATATTGTATAATAGCATTGATTATAAATAGTATTTATAATCAATGATAATAGTCTTTATAATTAGAATATAATATGTTATAGGTACAAGGTGTCAAGGTACATAATTATTGGCTATTGCAATAAATCTAATGTCATAATTTATGTTTTACTATTTTATATTTTTCCCACCCATTCCTTTCAAAAAAGTATGTTATACTTAACAGAACATAAAACACAAATTTAATAATAATTTAAAAAGATATCAGCCATATTATACATAACTTAAAATCTATTGTTTATATATCAGTGTACTTGTTTTCTCTTTCTAACTTATGCACAATATAACAAATTTGTGTTTCAGTATTTTAATTATTGTGTGAATTATGAGTATGTAAGATACTAAAATTTTAMATTAAAAATTTTCATATCTTGTTTACAATTGCAATATCGTAAAAAGCCAATGTAAGAATAATGTAAGATAATGTTCTACTGCATACAAATTTTTTATATTGAACGGACACAAAAATGTAAACTGACAACTACAAATACTGCAAAACTACATTATATTTATTATTTTAAGTTCTATTGTTTTCTTCTTACTTGCTGCATCCCTTTCAGCCCTCCTCCTGGCTATGCCACTGTATTAAGCTATGTTTTGACATTTTGGTTCACAATATCTATAAGTAAATACAAGGATATATTAATAAAATCATATTATTTATTCATGAATTGCATAATTTTGATGATACACTATATATTGATGCCAGCATGTCAACATTGTTTCAATATTGGATCTACAATAAGCAATCTTTATCAGCTACACAATGAATTCCGCAAGAAAAATAATTTTTTTGAAGATTTGTTTGGATAATATTAATGCAAAAGTTGCATATTATTCTAAAAATAAAATCAAAAAATAGTTAATTATGTATGACAATATAAATAAATTAATTAATGGTAAATATTAAAATTAAAATAATATTTAAATGGTTTGAGTCATTGGAAAAATGTTAACTTGAAGTTTAAAAATCTAAATCAGGAGCAGGTTTTTTAATCAATCATCCTCCAACCCTAACTTAAATAAATTACCACTCTTTTATTTTAGCATCTATTGCTTGATTGTCGTTACCAGGATTCAAATCGGGAWAACAGACAAACATTTACACCAATACACAATCTCCAGCTTTTGAACTATACATAAATAAAAGTATAATATTATATAGAAGAGCTGTTAATATTATCACCTGCCTGTTAAAACTATTAATAATCATTACTATTTACTACAGTAACAGATTTTTAGTTTATTGTTATTTTAAATAAAAATTTGTAATGTAAATATAACCCACAATAAACTTTCTTAAAAACAGGCGATGTTTTGAATTTTTCTGTAAAGTAGTATAAGAACAATCAATATTGATAATACTTATTACAATTTTATAACTTTAAATTTTTATGGTGTTTTAATTTTTGTGATAGTACTAACCAATAATTTTTAATAATTAAATGAAAAAACAATACAAATTTAATGTTCTCAAACTGATAACTTAAATTGTATTTATGTTATCTAAATAATATAAAAGCTGGGGGTGTAGTGGCCAGGCAGATTGAGGCGTCGGTTTGAATCCTGGTCATGGGCGGCATCGCTTTCTGGGCAGTTCATGCTGTCTGGAAAGAGAGATCGCCGCCCCCAACCGGGCATGGCAGAAACGTACGGGTGCCCATTCAAAATTCTGCCAAAACATCCACGAGTACCAAAACCAATAGTTACCTCCCCCACAGTTACACATGGTAATAGCTCTTGTTGTCGTAGCGTCAACCCCCAATTTTTTTTATTATGAAAGACAATTTACAATCTGTACACAATAATTACAATAAGCAAATTTGATGTATTTACATAGAATAAAATAGCATGAATAACGTGTTGAGGAAGAAACTCATTGGTAACACCTCCTTTTCTAGTTTAATAGATCTCTACACCATCATATACGCTTTAGTCTGCGTGGTGGGATTTTTGGGAGGATGATGGTGTACATGTCATATGATATTAGGTTATTGTTATGCATGTTAAAATTTTTATGGAAACATATCTTCATTGTTTTGGCTAGTTCAGTAGTAGTTGTTATTTTTAAGTCATCGTGTAATGAAAAGTTAGAAAAATACCAGGGGGCTTTGGTTAATAACTATAGAGCAATTTAAAAACCTGGATTGGCCTTATGTTTAAGGGCTTTGCCGGGTTCTTACCAGTGTTTGTTCATTATCAGTTTATCATCCTCTCTTTGACTATGTTTAATATCTGTTCAGGAAGTATTTGAATAAATTTGTTATTCTTTGTAATATGAGCTGGATCATCTCCCTTTGATTCTGATATACTACTAGTACTTATGTTGACTTCAATACCTGAGAATAGATTCAACATTAGTGGCAACGACAACACACACATCTGAAATCAGTATCATAACATCTTCAATAAATGGTATTTTGTTAATGAACAAATCCACTTGAAGTATTTTTGGCTTCAGTAATCCTTCCATTTCTGGGTTACTTCTCTAATCCCTGTAAACGCAACAAATATATTTCAGTTCTAATTTTATTCATACTTACCTAGTTTAAATTTAGTTGATTAAACAATACTTACAACATTGGAATTGATTTTTGATAGAAAAAGGGTTGAAATATATGTTGCATGCGAGCTGCCAGCAATCCAGATGTTAGTGGGTTTTTTGATAATGGTTGATAGATAATTTTCAACAGTGAACAAATTGTTTATTTCTAGTAATTTAAGCAGAATTTACTAAGTATACAATACATGTACATGTGCGGCGTGAAGGTGCTCAAGTGTTAATGGCTATGGCACATTCTGTCTCTGCTGTCCTCTAAGCTTCCTTATAAATCATGTCAATTCCGTTAAAATGTACCGGTTGCGTGTGCTGCAGATTTTCTTATGAATATTAATCTCTAATTGTCATTAAGCTCATTCGTGACCTAGTCAAAAAATAAAGTATATGATTACAATTTATGAGTCGTGTGATATATTCTATTGTTCGTTACGATTTCTGTAGTGAATTCGTAAAGTTCATTGCCAGAGACATATAAAAGAAAATTATGTTCTGTGTACAAAATAACGGACTAACCTGGTAAGCACTAGCATAATTGCATAGTATCAAGCATTGCCGATAAAGTTGTTTTCGTTTTGCACTTGTGCACTGTGTAGTTTGCCGCTTGCATTCAATTGCATTATCCTTCCACCGTTACATCTTAACCAACGACGAGAAACGAATAAGTATCAAGAAACTGAAGAAACTTCCTGTGTCCCAAACCGGCTAAATTATAATATAAGGGACACGGCTATTAAAGCATATTATTAAATTCTAACTTCTAACTTCTAAGGTCGGTTCAGTGTCCGTTAACGGTTAATCGACGRTTAGTGAGATTTTTACTGACAAAATTCCACCAGTTAATTGACGGTTAATTATTTTAACTGGACATCGTAAGAACGTCTCTAAGTTATATCTTATAAGCGGTTGCCGCTGCCGGCTAGGTGATAAGGCACTATCAGTGCTATCCGTTACCAGTTTTTGAAGTCTGCGACTCGCATAGACATAATAAGATATGGACTGCTACTCCTCCACACCGACACCATGCCATAAGTTTATTGAAAGCTTAGATCATCATTGTATATGATCTAAGATTGAAAGAGATTGATATCAATTTTTTATTAATTGATAAATGTGTTCTTAACACCATGAAATTATAAAATATCTTCCATGATACCTAAGTTATGTCTTGTCTCTTTCTATCGATGTAGACTATTGACTTCTCTCTCTACTAGCAGTCCATATCTTATTATGTCTATAGCGTCTCGGCTTAAGTGGTTTAAGATAGTACTATCACCGATTAGATTTTTTCTTTGTTTTAATCTGAAATCTGAAATCACGGTGTATGTTTATCATTACAAATTTACAAATCTATAATCACAACTGCCAAAATCACNATTTTGATTGTAAATTGTAATCACTAATCAGTAATCACTATAATTTTTATTTTTTATATGGAATAATAAAGTTACATATGTCGTTTACTCCATGCCAACCTGTAGTATATATTTTTCTCTCTTTAACAATGATGACTTGACACCTCTCTCTCTAAGCGCAGTCCATCTCTTTATATGTCTATGATGTAGACTATTGACTTCTCTCTCTACTAGCAGTCCATATCTTATTATGACGTCTATAGCGTCTCGGCTTAAGTGGTTTAAGATAGTACTATCACCGAWTAGATTTTTTCTTTGTTTTAATCTGAAATCTGAAATCACGGTGTATGTTTATCATTACAAATTTACAAATCTATAATCACAACTGCCAAAATCACTTTCAATTTTTTAGTTCTTTTCGTTAAGAGTTTAAAGTTAATAAATCAACGTAAGATTAAATCTATTTTAGTGATTTTACGGTGAAATGTATCATAACATCGACTAATTGGAAATTGTTGTTTTCATATTTTAGTTCTCTAATTCTCTTAATAATTTGTATATTATAAGCTCAAACTAGCTTCATATGTAACTACCTATATTGAACCAAATTGAAGATGGACAACCCGTCTGTCATTAGTTTGTCATCAAAGGCACTATCAAACGTATTAGAACTTATTAAAATGATGACTGGACAAAATGTTTGTATTTTTGCATACTTAATGTATTATAAAAACAAAGCTTAGTAATCTGTGTYAATTTTGTTTTAGAACTTCAATGAAGTTTATCTGAAATATGCTCAAATAATAAATAACTTGCATGATGTGTATTATGAGCTTCCTAAACGGTCAGATGTTGAATATTATGTAAAAGGATTGATAGAAAAATATCGTGTTCAAGGATTTCCGTTGGAAGCTAAGGAATTTGAAATGCGCATTCACCGATTTATTAACTATTCAAATATTAATAACTCATCTAAAGTAGGTGTTTAATATTAATTGTTCCTACATTACATTTTGTGTTGATAATAATGTCATTCAATGTCTTGTAGCTGTCGTCTGATGTTATTAAATGGGCAATCGTTGGGATGATAATTAGTATGGCTAATAATCCTTGTGGTTCTAGAAATGTTTTTCGTAAGACTAATTTAAACACTGTCAGAATTGAGTTAGAAGGTGAAGCTGCAGTACTTGGAGATTCRTGGAGAGCTGATCTTATACAAGAGTTATTAAACATTGGTAGAACTTCTGTAAGTATATAATATAAATAAAAATGTATATTTTTTGCTATAACTTACAATATTTTTTATTAATTTACAGTACTGTATAGAATCTGATTCTGAAACAGATTATGAAGACGAGGTTGATTTTTGCCCATCAATTGTTCTATTACCAGAGAATACTATAGTTAATAAAATAAAAGATAATAATAACTCTCTAACTAGTAGGGAATATCTGAAATTAGTTTTTTCCCATGAGAATATAGGTAGACATGTATTATTAAAACGGGTTGCTCAATTTTGGTGGCTCAAAAAATCTAAAACAGCTAAAGGTGAACAGCATCCTTTTTATTCCAGTTTAAAAAAGTAAATAATATGTTTGTACATTGTTAATATTAATGTCTGATTAAAAAATAAAAAAGTGATGATATTATATTATATAAATGTTTACTATACCTATATTTTCAGATATACAAATAACAAAATGTTTAAAATTATAGACGATAACTTCATAATACTTGAATGTTTAAATAGTTATTTAACTGTATCAAATATTCTTCAGTATAGTTTAGAAGAACAAAGTAAATTATTTGGATGTATGACTATTTCATCATCTATATCACCTGTAAGTGTTAGCTTTGTTTTTATAAATAAATTAAAAACTTCTTTTAAATTAATCAATTATTAATTCATAGTTATTATTATTTTAGGAGGCCTTTAATAGATGGGTTTTAACTATTTCACCTAGCATCAAAAAATTTAACCATCTAATAAAATTTACGCGCCACTTAAAAGAACTAAAAAAAATACCCCATACATTAGGGGCATATGCTAACGGATTGGAGTACATTTTAGAACCAATAATTAATAAAATGTGTTGTATTGAAAATAGAATTAAAAATTGTGGTAAGTTTTTATTTTTGWTTTTGGCATTACCGTATGAAAAGTTTATGTTTGCGGCTTAATTAATTTTAGTTGGCCATGATACATTATTATCATTTGAAGAAGAAATGTATATGAATTTTCAAATTATTTCTTTTGTTTATTCTGTGCATTCAAAAGCTATAGTTTCAAATTGGGAGACAACTGATAATTGGAAAATTTCAATTAAGTAAGTTTAATACTTATTTTGAATGCTATGTTTCACGAATCATGATTATATCTATCTAAATTTCAGATTAATTTCTGTTTTATTTTGGTCCGTTCAAAATGCAATTATTGATTACCAAAAATTAATTGTCATGACATTGTTTTTATATGCATTTGAACCTTATGTTCACATGACAGAATTATGGATTCATGCTGGGCAGTTGGTTGATCAAAACAATGAATTTATTATATACAATTATGAAGGAGACAGTAGTATACCATTCAATATATTCTTTAATGATGTTCATGAATACTTAAAAAATTATAACATAAGTGTACCACCAATTCTTGAATATCTAATTCATTTTTTGAATAATTGTGATTGGAAAGTGTTTGTAGCATCAGAAATGAGTAATGACACTTTTGCCTTATGTGAAGTTCCCAGAGGTAAGTTAAAATATCTATTTAATGCAGTTATTTAGGTAACTTTAATTTTTTCATTGAATTAATTTATTAAATTATTCCAGGCCAACTGTTTAATAATTTTTTAATTGAAATAAGAAATTCCAATACTTTCTGGGAAAATTACATWAATCCTTTCAATGAATATAATCCATCCAACTGGTATACATCGCCATCGTTAACATCAGCTTGTGTGCATTATAAGTAAATATCTGCATTCAGCTTATTTATAATTTATAATATTGTATTATTTATAAAGTAAAAATTAATTAATGGTATTAATTATTGATAATATTATGTAAATATATATTTTTAGCTCCCAGTTAAATCTATCCACTGTAAGTTGTTTATGTGTATGTATGTCTATGATTTACTATGTTTAGAAATTATACAATCAATTTTCAAAAATATTGCTTATAATTTTAAAACTCGTCCTATAAAATATATAATTCTAATTAGTCAGTAGTCTGAATCATATAAATTATGTTTGATTTTTGATATTAATTTTGAACTTTAATTTTATAATTAGTATATAAAACTATTAAAGAAACTTAAATAGTTTCATAACTAGCTTTATTCATTATGAGTGATATTTTGTTTTATTTGTGCATGCAATTTTACTATGAATTAACTGGTTAATTTAAAAATTTTGGAGAGGGGGTGAGATAAGTTTTTATTTAATGATACATTTGTATAGATACGAGTCAAAATTATAATTTTAAAATGTATTTTTAAGAGAACTCAAACCCAGGGCCTTTCCCCATTGACTTTATTTATACCAATGTGAAGCAATAGCATTTTTATTTATTCTTAATTAATAATAATTTATAGAATGTTGTCATGTTTAGATTGTAGTTATTATTTTACTTTAATAATCAATGAAAATATTATATAATATAACTAATTCTTTTCGTATTTCTAATTGACTAATTAGATTTAATGATAAATCAACATTTGAACTGACTATGCCTTCGAGTTATGAAATAGTAAATATGTTTTTATTGGTTATACAAAAGTCCATAAATAACATTGGATTGGAAGTTGGAGATATTGTTCTGAAAAAAAATAAATTTGTGCATCATCTAAAGAATTTGTACAATATAATTTTCTTAGAAGATGTGAATAAGTCAGTTCAAATTGATAGAGTTATGGAATATAAGGTAAAGTATAATCTTCATATTTTTACCTTTGCTCTTATTTTTAAAGGTAAGATGAGGTAAAATATATAATATTATTATATCAATATTATAATTATATTTCAGTGCTGGTAGTTTTGCTAGTTTTGCAGTTATTTTTTTTGTTAATTATTATTTATTTGAGTCATTATAATAACTAAACAAATTTTAAATTATTATAGATTGAACGTAATTCGTTTTTGAACAATTGTTTTTATTCACTTCTTAGTGATGATCACAGTTCAGTTTTATCTAGTAATCATTCATGCAATCTCTCACTAAACTATAAAACAGAAAAAAATAATTATTTTGAAGAAAATGATGTATTCAAAGATAGTTTTGCTGATGAACTTGAACGCCTTACAATTACTTATGATGTAAGTTTAAATATCTAAGTGTGGGTTTCACCTATCTTAATAATTATATTTTTATTTGTTTACAGGTGAAATTTCCATTAAGTCTAATTTTAACCAATGAGGTAATATTTAACTATAACAAAATTTTTCGTCTCTTAATAACAAGCAAGCAAGCTGTAGCAATGATCTCTCAGTTACAAACTAAAGGTAAATATTTATATTCCAAAATTCTAAATACAATAATGATGAATTACCAAATACAATATTTCAGATTTAAATAAGTATAACTACTCATTAGATGTGAAGCGAATGTATTTTATTAGATTATGGATTATGTCAACTACTTACAAACTACAAACATACTTCTTCAGTGTCGCATCAAGATATCTGGGCTCTAAACTATTTGATAGTATTAAAAATGTAAAAAATGGTTTGGCTGCTTTTGAAAAAGGTTAGTATTTGCATGTTTATTTGTATTAATGTTAACTTAAGAGGACACTATACAACCATTTGTTGTCTCCGTCTTACAAAAGTATTACATATCAGATTTATGTTATGTTAGTTTAAAAATAAGTGTGAATCAATCTTATAATCATAACAAATAGTCATACTAACACAGATAATGTTCTTAGTGTTCTTACCATAAATTTTCATAATAAGCCAATCTACACTAATTTTTAAACTAACAGAGCTAAAAAATGTGATCTGAGCATAAATTTGGTAATTTATGTGCTTGTAAGATAGACAACAAATAGTTGTGTATCATCATCTTAAATTTAATATAAACGTTAAACATATATATATATATATATGTATATGATAATGATGAAATTTTTTCAGTAGATGTCAATTAGGAAATTTAGAATACTGAAAAGGATATTGAAAGATTGTCATGTAGGCCATTTAGCTATAAAATTTTTTGAAATCAAAAATGTCTAGTTTTTTAGAATATAATTTTATAATTTGAAATATTTTAATTGAGTTCTTCTGTTCTTCAATTTTTTTTATAAAGTTAACTATAATTTTTTTTAAATGGAATACTATTATTACATTATAACTGTAGAAGTAAATTTCTATGGATGATATTTTACGCTTCTAATTTCAGTTTTAAAATTCATTGTTTTGTGAAGAATATAGGTATTAAAATTATTTTTATGTATTTACTTAAAAGTTTTTCATTTTACAGTACTTGAAGATCATGTTAACCAGGCTATAAGGTTATGTATGCTAAATGGATCAATGGAAAAATATTCTTACGAGTCATTGGCTTTGGTAATTATGAAATTTATTCTAAATAAAAGTTCAACATTTTAAACATTTTATTTGCATAATATAGTTATGGAATGCCTGTGAGCAATTTACAAAATTATGGGTGAGTAGTGTAATAGAAGACAGTATTGATGTTGAATTAATGGAAAAAATTGAACAAGAATATGTAGATTCTTGTTGGAAATTAGCCAGTAGTTTGGACACATATCTTACATCTGAGGATGATACATCTAGTATTTGTAAGTACTGAGTACCTTTTAAAACGTTTTAATAATTTTAATGAATTTATATTATCTAAGTATGGGTTATTTCAGTATTTGAATTTTGCCGAGATTTTATGTCAAGTATGCCAACTAAAGAATCAGCTGATCTTGATGGTAGTTTAGTTTACAAATTGAGTGATTCACGAAATCGATATTCTTTTACATATATTTAAACACCATYACTAGAAATAATTGACGTTCATAATTATGTACTTTTTTCACTTAAATGAACCTGTTTAAATGTAAATAATGTAAAATAAATTGTTATTTTATAGTTATCTATTTGATATTTTGTAAATTGTATAATTTAAAATTTATTTATTTTGTATTTTTAGGAATAAAACTCAATATCATCCTAATTTAAATATYGTGTAAATTTATTAAACCATAATCAGTGGCAGTTATTTATTTATTTAGTCTGCAATCCGCTTACGAACCTCCCCCCCCCCTTTGAAAAAATATTGGTAATCAATTGGTAATTTAACACAAAATATACAAAAAGCAAAAATATTGTTATAAATAATTTAGGATTATAATTATGGTTTTTTTTTTTCAAGTCTTCCAGACATTAATCAATTAAATTGGTATACTTATATACATAGATTTAAAATATTCGACATTTGTACAGAAGTTACCATTGTTTACAAGATTACTAGGTAATAGTTTAACAAAGAGCAATAATAAGTGACAGGTGTTTCACTATTTCAGACTAAGGCATTGTCAGACCATTAGAGATACCTAGAGAGCCTTGATATTAATATAAAGTCTCTCTAGGTATAGCTGTACACCAAGAGGGTGCCCTAAGGTTAGGYTCRCCGTATGGAACTGTAATTTTTCCATTTGCGACATTTGCGTGCAAAATTTGTCCTATCAGTATTCAGTACAGCCGATGACTCCGTCAAAACGTAATTCTGAAGAATTTTTACGAATATACAATATACCTATTATAGAATTTAAAAATTGAAAGCAAAAAGTGGTGGGTTGAAATATTTATTTACCTACTTTAAAAATAACCCTGACAAATTTARACGACAGTCATTTTTGAGAAACGATGGACCGTTTCAATTTAATTTAAATCCGTTCATAGAAGACTAACAACGAAGAAAAATACATTTTAATTGAAATCAAATGGGTTCAACAAAGTGTCATCAAAACCATATAGGACATAGGCGTTCGCAGATTTCTATCCAGGATRTACATACCGGTGTTTTTAAAAATGTATTCAACTCAGAACAAGCAATAACGCCCCAATACCTATTATTGATGTAAAATAACTTGTTTCATTATGCAAATAAGAATCTAAATTAAGATAAAACAATGAAATCTATAATTAATACATTTTGATTTATTTTTTACGCCCAAAAATTTCAAATGGGAAAAATAAAATAAAAATATTCAAATTATGTATAGTCATGAACTAAGTACTATTATTATAGCTATACCTATTAGAAGAGCCTATATATATATATATATATGGATTATCTTAGTAATTTATGATTCTAATAGCGGCGTATATCTATGTACGACTAAAAACTAAATCATCATGCTGCAGACTCTGCAGGAGGTGCCATGGCACAGCCGACATCCCCCTGTACACGCCTATATGATTAAAACTTAAGAAAACATGAATGTATTAGAAAGTGATGAAACAATATATTTAAATAGATTTGTAACTATATCATTCCACGACATTGACGCCATCATTTGAAAATGATATAATATCATTGGATTCAAATTTAATTCCATCCATTACAGTAACCCACTTGTAACCTACTGTACAGCAGAGCGACATACACGACTTACCCGCTTTTTTTTTAAAACTTCTCTCTTCTTTTACCTTATTTTATTTAATTAAATAGACTTAACTGACATGAAAAACCATAAGGTCATATTRATATTTAATAAAATATAAAAAATACACATAATACAAAAATTACATATTCACTAATCACAACAGTAGCGTGTCAACTGTAAGACAATAAATATATTTAGGTTAGGTGCACTCAGATATTTACAGCCATGTCTAACTGTAAATGAACAAACTACACTACAGGTTAGAACAGATTTATAAAAAGTGTTACTTATTATTGGATATAACATAATTTTGAGTTCAGTCTTTTTTAATTACATATTAATTGTCCTTGTTCGTAAATTCTTCAAAGTCTATGGAAGAACTATTTCCAGATTTTTCATTAATAGAGTCTTCAGGTGTGATTTGTAATGAAGGTAATAATTTAGCAATTCTACTCTCCATTGAATTTAGAAAAGGTGAATCATTATACTCGGGTAAACTAATAAATGTTAAGAATAAGCGTAAAATTTGAAGAGGTGTAAGATCACCAAACTGAGTAAATATGGTGTATCCTTGGGCAATAAAATGAGGCCCACAACCAGGAATCCACTGCCTTAAAGTATATATATAAAAAAAAACAATCAATAAGTTATGATAACTTGGAAATAAATAAAATATGAATCTATCAAATATACTTACTCTAACATAGGTATAACAAAATTCTTACGGCTTAGTGTATGATGCTTGACAAAGTACCAATATGGTTTTAATAAATCTTCAGTTAAGCCTTCTGAATTAAAAATCTCTCGACGACCTTCAACTTTTGCTAAGATCATATAATTATCATCTGCTTCCTTCAACTAAAATAAAAATGAAATGAAAATTAATAAAACACTCAAACAATATTTTTAGATAATGAATATCATTTTTTAGCTAACCTCTTTAAAACGCACATTTTTGCTAGCGGATTTTGAAATATGTGGTGGATAAAATGMTTTCCTTGGATAAGTTTTTAATAACTCTATATCAAAAATAGTTTGAAATAGAATTGTTTGTGTTTTATAATATTTTTTATCAATAATTGGTTTACAAGAATATCTCTAAAATTAAAAAGACATAAACAATAARAACAGAATTTTATAGAGATTAATTTTTGTTTTCAATCTTTTACCTTAAATACTGATGGTGAAAGTAAAAAGTAAAATTCTGGTCGACCATAAATCATCAATCCAGTTTGAAATATAAAACTATATATCAAATAATTTATGAACTTCTTATTTGGTAATGAAGCAATTATTTTAAGAGATGGATCTATAAATATTAATAATTTTTAATTCAATGCTTTAAAAGTTTATGGGAATTAATAAATACTTTCTTGGTTCCATGGTTGTTGTGGTGTACTAATACTTGATAGAAATTTTGAAACTCTGTCTCCTCGGTCCATCCGATCTTGAAATCCAAACTTCCACAGCAAGAGAAAATTTCCATGGTTGATTTTAATTCTGTCACCGTAATCTGAATGAACAGCCTATAATTATTAAAATAATATACTAAATATTGTAAATAAATAACAGTAGGTATCATATAATAATCTATTATTGTAAATGAAAAAAATGTTAAACTAACCATTAAAAATTCTTTAAATACATCATAATTATTTTCATATACACATATATTGTAATTTGTTTCTTTCAATAAATGCTGTGTAATCAAACATGGACCAGGATTGACTTCAATTATTTCAATTGGTTTGTTTCCATATTTTTTAGCCAAGTGTACAGATATTGTGTCTGATATATCTTCTAAAAATGTTTACAAATTAAATAATAAAAATTAAAAACATAAAAATATGAGAATTTTTATAAATAATTTCTTTATCATTAATTCGGACTACAATTAATTTATTGAAATTGAAATAAAAATATAAAACAATTTTATTTTATCCATTAAGCTAGTATCATTATAAGGTCTACTTCTCTACTTGATGGATCAATAGATGCCCCAGATCTTTTTTCCTTTATTACAGCATTTCTTAAACTTTTTTGTCCGTGGAACCCTTTTTGGTGTCCACTTTTATTGTGGAACCCCTACTTTTTTTATAGCTTTTTTTTTAGGATGATTTGCAAATTAATTATAATATTAAGTAGAAATATGGATTATTGAATATAGAGTTATCTGATAGATTATTCCATATGGCTTATACATTATTATTTAATACACAAGTATTTTTTTCCATAATGGACATTTTAAAGTAATTTTTTTTGAACATTTAAAAAAATTACTTAAGCTTCGCGGAACCCTGAAGTGATCTATGCGGAACACGGTTTAAGAAACGCTGCTCTATTAGTTTTTGTGTTCCAATCTACCCTTCAAGGCATCTAGATATCTAGATAATATCACACATTCATATCACAATTCACTCCACCTCCAATGGCCATAACCATCCTTTACACCACATGCTTTGTTGTGTCAATAATGCCATATATTTCATTCTAATCTATTTTTTTATTTTGCTTTATCTGTCTGTATATTTTTAATACTGCATTTTGTTTGTAATCATTCTAGTTTTAAGCTGTTACAATATTGTTACCTAATTGTACCTATTCACCTAATTCTCGATTGTGCGCGAAAAAGGGGTAAGTCAACATTTTGTGTAAAATGAGTTAATTACATAAAAAAATGCAGAAAAAAACGATGTATATTATGTCAGAATATATGTAATTTTGCATCATTGAATGTGTTATTTCAATGTGCGTTTAGTGTTAACTCAATTAATATGTGCTAGTGTGCTACAATAGTTCAGTGGCGTTAAAAGAACGGTTAATTGCACCGGGGCCTCATGGTTTAATTTCTAATATGGGGCCCATACTTAAGTTAAATAATATAAGAATTAAGAATCTATACTAATAACAATTTTTTTTTTAATTAGATCATAATATAATATCAGAAATATAATGATCATTCTGTTAGTACTGCTATTTTAGCACGATAGCACCCCCAGTTACCAGTTCCTATATAATAACATATAATTATATAATTATTTTTAAATATTTTGAATACATAATACATTATGTACAGTATAGTTGCTTAATAGCTTAAATAAATAAAGAGTAGCGATTATATTATTAACATTTATACAATTTCAACTTTATTATTATGATTATTATTATTTATTTGTCTATACGTKTAATGAAGTATAATTCATTATATTTATATTATAATTAAAAACTAAGAATATTAATAAGTAAAAATTTWAAATGATTGCAGTACAGTTTATTATATTATTAGATGGTGTGGACTGTAGAGGGTGGGGGGGGGCTAAGCCCCCTACAGATCAGTGTAACATCGATCATTTCAGCAACCACTACATTCAAACCAAATATGCGCCTATATTAAAGGCCCACAGATTAAATTTGCAATGGGGCCCATTAATTAGTTCTAGCTACCGCACTGCAAAAGTAATGTCACCAATAGGTAAATATATCTTTTGACACCGAATTTTAATTTAATTAATTTAATGATACTTTGTTTTTGCTCTCCTGAAAAATTTGGTTTAAATGACTTCACATCTTATTCACGCGCAACAGCGAATTTTTGTACTTAACATAATATAGGTACCAATTTAGTGAATTTCCGTTAGGCGTAATGAGTAAATAAAATAGAATAAAAATAAAAATGTTTTTATTTACTTGCTACATAATTACAGTACACAAACATGCTCTCTGGATACTTGAGTTTTTTGAATGAACTTAAATTGTGATTTATACTTGGAACTTTTAATGTGGCTGCTGTTGAAGAATAATACCGTTTGTGCCAGGTCCATTTAAAATAGGACTTAGACAAAATACAAGCATTATTTTTTAAATTCATACTTTTATTTACAGTAAATGTGCATAACTGTAGTAAAAAAAATAACTTTATAATTAATTAATGATCAAATAATTATTTCTGTGCTACTGTTAACTTTAAATTTCGAAATTAATAAGTTTGAATTGGAAATACGAATAGCCAATAGGTAGCTTTAATAATTTAATAATCAAATGATGTGCTTACTTTTATCAATTTATCATTGAAGAAATAATTATCTCGTTCACCGCGTGATAGTATTATCTTTAATCATGGCTATAAAATAATATCACAGATTAAGTAAAAAGTTTACGCAACATGTTATATTATTCTGTCTGTGATGTTACCAAAAAAAAAAAATGTGGATGATCTTTTCCCGAGAATCCGAGATTATTGATTCAACTAGGTATATAGGTACTTAAGAGTGGCTTTCAATATATTATTTGACCCACAGGGCACAGGGCCACAGACGCCTATTATATAAATTGTTATGTGTTATTATTTATAGAATATATTATGATAAATTTGTGTTATGGCCACATTCACCATAGTACGGTGCTACGGGCATCAGTCATAACAAAATATATAAATTATTTTGTTGTCATGGCGCCATGCAACCATCTTGTACTTTTTAGGTAATTTAAAACTGTGTTCAACTTCCAGATTTAGAATTGAAATAATACTGTATTTTTAATTTTTTTTTTTTTTCATTAAATTCTACGCAAGATAATGTAGTTAGAATATACTAGCCAAAATGTAATCCGATATTCCGATAACCACCATAATAAAATTAAAGTACAATCATAATTATTAGACCTAGAGGTTACAAAAATAATTAATTGGACATTTTGACTTATTATACAAAAATAAATGTTCGCAAGTTTTTGACTTGTGGATCTTCGACTGCTAAACCGATCTTGATGATATGAGATACTTGATAATCGTTATATAAAAACGAGTGACATGGGCTAAATTCAGTGGCATAATTAGGAATTTGTCTTAGGGGGGATAAACATTTTTTTCCACACAAAATACTTGAATTTTCAAGTACAATATCTGGGAAAACTTTTTCATCAAAAATTCTTAAACTAATATAAATGTATTAATAAATGTGCTTTAAAATTCTACACAATTTAGTACCTATACAATATTATAATAATTTCTTCAAAATGTAAATTTTTAATATATTAGAATTAAAATTTACTTTTAAATTAAATAATAATTTATAGATTTCTTGATATTAATTATATTTAATAGGTATATTTCGTCGTGATGTCAGCACGATAAAACATATAATTCCATAAGCTTCAAATTAATATATTATAAATATACACATTATATAGGCTCTGGGGGGGGATATATCTCCCTCATCCCCCCCCCTTAATTACGCCCCTGGGGCTAATTTTTGAACCGAAATTCAACCCCTAAATATTGATTCATAATCTGTGAGCATTTAGTTAGGGCTAATAAAAATCGAATTTTTTATTTATTTATATATACCTACCCATCATGCGAGTAGGAATTTTCCATTTAGAAATCATCAAAAAAGATAAAAAATTATTTTTTCTTATTAACATTTTTTTTCTTATCTTGTAATTCTCCGAATGCATAAAGTATGCGAAAGTATTGCGTAAATATTAAATACTATCATTACCTTTGTGATTAAATTAATTATGTTTAAAAACGAAATTCTAAAACTTATTGTGTGTACAGTATTCTACTTAATATTATGAAGTATACTTCAAAATGCAATGAATATTTTGTCAACATTTTAACTTCAGACGTTCATAAAAAATATTTATGGTATTATACGCATTGCTTTTTTTTTTCTAGTAGGAACCCGCGGCAACATAGGCTATTGGTTATAAGGTGGTATAGTAGGGGTTATTTTTGTGCACTTGTTCGTAGGTTGTAACATGTATTTGTGTATGTGTGGCAAGGATATGTTGCTAAAAATCCCGGGTGGTCACCCATCCGGGAGCTAGCAACTGCAGCCGGTATGTATGCGTGTATTTCTGCAGATTGAGCGACGACTGCTCCTCATTAAGTCACATCATAACTTTTGTTTTAATTCAGTTTCAAGTTTCTAACACGATTTATGATTTACAAGGAAGTGAGACACATGCATGCATTCAGTTTTTAAATTTGAGGTACCGACCTATGAATACAAACAAATTAAGGAATTTTTAACCACAAAAGACTTTGTACATTTTCTCCTGATTTTGTTTGATTGAATCAGGCGATTGTGGCTTTACTAACTAGCACTGCTCAGTTACACAAATGTATAACCTTTGGTTGGTGCGAGGGCTAGTTTCTATGTATTTAGGAAGTTCAGTCTTTAGATCGCAGGCAAACAAGAACTCGAGTCAGATGATTGGGCATCACTTCTATGATTTTGTGTTTTGTGGTAACATTTTATTATAATTTTTATACGAAAATTCTGAAATTATCCTTTCACATTTTAATATCATGTTCAATATATCACATTATTATATTTACTTCATAAGTTTTGAATTACTAAAAAATTTCAATCTAAAAGAAGATGGTGTATAATATACCATATACATTGATCTATAACCATCTAGAATTACAGTATGGTACTATACATTATAGTATTGTGAATAAAACATTAATTTAAATATTATAATTGTTTTTATTTTTAATAAATATAATATTTTTTTGTTATAACTGTAATTGTTTAAGTTCAGCTAATAAACCATTTTCAAGTTTTAATCTTGCCAATTGATTGACATCCAATACTTTACCAGAAGATTGTAAAGTTTTGAAACGATTGATGCTTTTTAAATCCTGAAAGAACAGATTTGTGTTACTTAACGACAAATAATAAAATAACAGTTATGAGACATACAGATTGAATTTTTTTAATCCTTAATTGTTTTTCGTTATCTTTGGGTTCATCGATTGTTTTTATAGTATTTTGCTTATCATCATTTGATTCTTCTACATCTTGCAGTTGTTTTGCTTGTCGTTTAGCTTCACGTTTCTTTTTCATCTTTAAATAAGCTTTTGATTGATTTTCTAAAATTGTTTAAGATATTTTATAATTTATTTRGAATACACAATTTTTCAATTTCTATATTTGGTAAAAAAAAAATTTATAGTATTTCATAAATTATGTGTGTTATTACATGAAAAACAAAAAAATAATCATATCTTTTAACAAGATAGTACCGTAAATAAAATCATACTTGATTCTAATGATGAATCTTCGTGTAAACTAGTGGGTTTAAAATCAGAGTTTCGGGCATGTGGTGGTCGATAAACTTGTTTAGAAGCTGCAAGTTAGAATAGCAATTAATAGAGGATTTAATAACAAAATTAATGAATAAATAAGTATTTAGAAATGTAACAAAAATAATTAAAATTAATTACCAATTGGTTGACTAGAAGCAATTCCTTCAACAGCTTTGTAAACTATGTTGGGTGTTTTAAAAGTACCTTGAGGATAATTTTGCCAAACGACTTGATATAGTTCATCTTTTCCCCAAGGCTTTTCATGTAGTAATGCACCACTATAGTGCCAAATTTTATAACCATTACTTACTTTTAGTCGTGGCGAAGTTGTAGCTGTTACAAAATGTTGACCATCCGGAGACCACTGAAGAAAGGTAGTATCTGGTATTTCTATTTTTTTAATCTTTTTCTTGCCATTTATATCCCATAACTCAGCATTGCCTTGCACATTACCAAACCCAGCTAAGAGAAGAAGTATTTATAGTGTTAAAGAAATTTATATGTATTTAAAAAAATGTTATTTTAAATTTAAATTTAATAATCATATTTAAATATATAAAGGATATTATTCCCAAATGGATTGTAGTAGACTGCATTAAATGTTCCAGTTCCAAATTCTATAACTGGGTCACATTTTAAATTATATAAAGTTACTTTTGAAGGCATAAAACCATAAATAACACAAAATTCGTTTGAAGATGGACTCCAGGCAGCATTATATAAAGGTCCTTCTTTATCTAAATATTAGAAATTAATCAAAATTAATAAATTTTTAAAAATATTGATAATTAATATATATATATATATTAAATCACAATACAAATTAAATTACTTACTCACTATAACCTGAGAAGTGTCTCCTTTTGAAGTAATCAGATGTAGACCTTGTTTACCATAATAGGACGCTCCTGTTTTGTCTACATCGGTACTTGTTAACATTAAGGATGCTGTTCCTTTCTGGTTCCAAAATATTTCTATTCTATCAGCCTAAATGTTTACAAATTAAGAATTACGGATAGAACTATCATTAAGTACAATTTTAATCATTTTCATCTTGAAGAATAATTAAAAAAAAATTGTTATTGTACCTGAAAAAAACTTTTATTGGCAACAATAGTACTGAAATCTGGATATTGAAATAGACGACCATTTGAAGGGCCAGTCTTAGCTGAAATAACAAATCCAAATAACCAACCATTCAGTAATACTAAATAATTAACTGCTCACTCAGTAGGCACATCTGATTTCACTTTATATAAGACAATGAATATAATTGTAATAGGTTAATTTTATGTTAAGAAGACGTGATACTCGTATGTGTTTTCTTTGTCTTACAAGTGCGTAACATAGCAATTTTTATGCTCAGCAGAACATGTGTTATGTCTTATGTGTAACTCTATTAGTTTAAAATTTAGAGTAAATTGACCTCTAATAAAGCTACACATGTTCTGCTGAGCATAAAATTTGCTATATTACACACTTGTAAGATGGAGACAATACATGTGGGTATCACATCCTCTTAAATTTAAGGTTGAACATATAATTTTAATTAATTACATTAACAAAATGCCAAGAATATAATAAGTAATAAGTTAATAAAACGTACCTGGAATAAAACAAAGAATATTAAGTGGTTGATTTCCTGGAGATATTGAATAATTATTGAGTTTAAGTCCTTTAATTCTATGTACAATATTATCAAAATTAGAATTCTCATAAAATAATACATCGCCATTCAAAAACCGAGCACAAATTTTCTCATCTGAAGACCACTGCGGAGTCCTATAAAAGAAAGCAATATTATACCAATAAAATAATGAGCTTATTTATTTAGCATAAAAACACAAATAATTAATTTTGTTTCAAAATGTTTTTAAATTATTGTGATTTAATATTTT